GATAGAATACAGCCTTGTCTCACTCCATTGCTGATTTCAAACCAATCTGTTGGCCCATACATTGTTCGTACATGCGCTTCTTGTTTATGGTAAAGATTCTTAATCAAGATTATTAGATGTTCTGGAATTCCCATCTTTCTCATCACAAACCACATAGTGTTATGGTCCACACAGTCAAATGCTTTGCTGTAATCAAAAGAACAAAAATAAATTTCTTTCTTTACTTCGCGTACCTTTTCCAATATCCATCTGATGTTTGCAATTTGGTCTCTAGTTCCCCTTCCTTTAATAAATCCAGCTTGCTCAATTGATATTTCTCTGTCAATATAGGGTGTTAGTCTTTTCTGGATTATTTTCAGAAGTATTTTGCTCATGTGAACAATTAAGGATATTGTTCGATTATTTGAACATTCTCTAATATCGCCTTTCTTTGGCAGCGACAAGAAGACAGATCTTTTCCAATCTACTGGCCATTCAGTGGTTTTCCAGATTAGCTGACACAGCTTGCATATGATGTTGAGTGTTTCTTTGCCAGTATTTTTTACCAGTTCAATGGGGATGTTGTCAATACCTGGAGCTTTATTACACGCAACTTCTTTAATGGCATGTTCTATTTCTGCTAGAGTTGGTTCCGGTTCTTCTGTAAATTCTTCTTCTGTGAAATCATTGGATATGTCTGCATCCCTGCTGTACAAGCATTGTGTGTATTGTTTCCATCTCTCCTTTATCTCTTTCCCCTATGTGAGTACTTCACCATTTTGGTCTTTCACTGTTGCCATGCGAGGTGTAAACTTTCCTGTGATCTGTTTAATAGCGCGGAATACATTTCTTGATTTTCCTTTTGCTTGATTTTCTTCCATATTCCTACAAATATCATTCAAGTATATTTCTTTATCTTTCCTTGCCTGATTTTGAAATACTCTGTTCAAGTTATTAAATGTGGATAAATCTTTTTGTTTTTTAGCGTTTCGTTGTTCTTCAGCAATCTCTATAGCTTTCTGTGATAACCAATGTGATTTTCTTTTTCTCTCTTTCTTAGGAATGTTTTTTCCCGCAGTGTCAACAATGATATCTTTTGTTGTCTGCCATAATTGCTCAACACTAGTGTCCTGTGATTCTAGATATGAGAAACGATTCGATAGCTCGATTGTAAAGTTTGGCGGTATCTTTGTTAAATCATATCTAGCTTGCGCATGTTGCTGTCTTCTCTTTTTTAGCTTTACTTTGATAGTGGCGTGAAGCAGCACATGATCTGTTCCACAGTCAGCTCCAGGAAGAGTTTTGACTGCCTGTATCGCATCTTTTCCATCAATCTGTCCTGAGTAGTACACTGTGTGATCACCATATCTAAAATCCCCACACCCTGTCCATTTCATTTCACTTATTCCGAGTATGTCTAAGTTTATTCTGTCCATTTCATTTGTTACAACTTCCAACTTTCCTTGATTCATCGTTCTAACATTCCAGGTCGCAATTGTGTGGTTTTTGTTGTTGCGGAACTGCTTAGGTTTTTCATCCTTTGCAGTGTCAGCTATCATACGCCCTAATGGGTTTAGTACAACAGCTTCATTATTGCTAGAATTACTCAATCCAGAGCTGCACCCTTCCTCAGTAGCAAGTTGAGTGCCATCCGACCTGAGGGGCACATCTTCAGGCACTATAGCCATTTTACTTGAGACTGGCATTTTCATAACATTTTCTTGGCAGGATACTGTAGTAGTTTGCCGTTGCTTTCTACAGATTGCAGTTCTCAACTAACTAGAGTTTGATTGCCGCCATTCATCTGGCTGTACCATATTTCTGCCAGCAGTCATAGTGCACGATACTTCATCATTTATTTAGCAAGACCAAATCTCTGCTAAAGCATCTCCACCCTGCTCTGTCGGTGGCGCACGGATGTAGTTTAAGTTCATACCCCAGGAACGATATTTGACCCATATCTGGGACCCTTGCAGGTGCTACCACCCCGGGTCAGGGTGGACCTGAGAGTAGTGGTAATAAAGAGGTAACTCCATTATCCCCAAAACTCTGGATCTCCCGAACCATGTGCTTTACTCATAGAACTAAAACTAGAACAGTTTAATCTATGAGTAAAGCACATCAATAAATTAACCTTTCTCTAAGAGTAATCAAATCGCGTTCAATCACCAAACAACCAAGCCTTCTGGATAACTTTCCACGTGCGATAAGAAAACAATGTCGCCTCGTGTGAACTGAAAGCTTACATAAAGCACTTGAATAGCAAATAACAATTATTCAAATTACCAACCGTTTTCAGGTGAAAAAAACAGGGTGTAACAACTTACACCTGCGACAACAGGCCCCACCCTCCCCTACGGCACAATTTCCATCCACCATACCTTCTTTTCTTATTAAACTTCTGTGGTAAATGACAGCAAAAGGCAGACACAACGTCAGCTTCTGAGGTTGCATCCTTTGATTAGCTTTTGAAAGAGCTTCTTTTTTAACGAATTTTCAAAGATTCGAATAAATTCAAGCAAACGAATCACAATTTTGCTCGTCCGCAAAACACAAACCCGAGAAATCACCACACAACACGCGCTGTCTTTCACCCCAAATCTCTACCCTTTGACGCAGTAAATTGAAAAGGTGTAATACCGACAAACCAAAATGTTTACTTGAACTTTTACCGACAAGCCCAAAATTGTATATGGGTTCCTCGAAAAAAACACCACGCCCGACACCCCGTACCTCGGTATGTCCCCAGTATCTACTTTGTTTAAAGAAGAACTGGTATTTTGTAAAGTGATTCTTGATATATCGAAGGGATTTATCGTGGAATCAGGGCCGGCGAACCGGGGGGGGAGGGGGAGGGAGGGGGGGAGGGGGGCTTGTGCCCTCCACTTTTCTGCAGAACAAAATAGATTTCAATAATTTCTCAAAAACGTTACAAAAGAGAGCAATCAGCTGTTGATGGGAAAGAAACTGCGAGAATAGAATTTTTTAGAATATGAGAAATGAAGAATCGGCATGATGGGTAACATTGCCAAATAAACAATTTCTGCCGGAATAATTAAACCGAGCAATGTTCCCGTACGAAACAAGAGCATATTTTGTTCTAGACCAATCAGCGGGTTTGTTTACAAAATGTCATTAGCCAATCACCTGCCTCCATTTTGAGCTTGATTTTTCAATGTTTTAAGCCAAAACACAGTTGCTGTGGAGAAAAACCTACCCCCATACTTTTTCCCGGGAAAAAAATTCGCGTTTTTTTAAAAAGAAGATTTTTCAAACTTAATTTTTAGAGTAATTTTTTGGTACAAATCTAGGAGCCCTAAGCAGAAACACAAACGGTTTGTAAAATATCTTGAATGAAACATCACCTATTTTCCACCTCGACCCTACCGCCAAAGATGCCTACCCCCTAATTAACTCCTTACGAAGCTTTCAATAATTAAACAAGGAAACATTTTAAGACTTAAGTTACCTGATATTTTGCGCAAACAAATCACCCAGCCATCACATGGGAATATTGTATTTTCTAAAATAACTTGGCTTTATAATTGCCTATTCCCTCCTCTACACTACCGCACGGGATGCCTAGGTCCTTTCTGATCCTCCTTACTGAGCATCACAGTCAATGAAATTCAAAGCACTTTTGTGAAGCCATTAGACATCGGTTTGTAGTTTGAAACAAAAAAGGCCAAAATTTTGTCAATAGTTTAAATTTTATATTTGAGAAAAATCAACTTTTTAAAAAGTAACAAAGACCCTAACCGAATATCCATATATTCTCGAAACATATTCAATTTTTATCCCATACACGCGTTCGTATTCCAATCGATAATCAAAACCATCTGCATTCAAGCAATCCAACAAGTCCTATCAATCAAAAGTCCCCCAACCTCTATTCAATCCCTCTATATCTCACGGAAATAAACTAAACAATACTCATTATTTACGACGTGTCCTCCGCAGAGTTTTCGTGTTTTCTAATACGGCAGATTTGTTCTTTGAAAGTATCATCGAAAAAGCTTCTAGTTTGATTGTATCAATAATCCATTCCTACTAAGAAAGAAAATATCTAGACGTAATTATAAATTCTATCAAAACTCTAGCCAAGTTTGAACGAGCCCAGTTTGAAAGTTTTCAAATCCAGAGTGGTCAAATCATTTTTGTTGCATAATCTTTCATTTTCAGTGCTTCTGCTGATATTTCAACGTAAATGTTTTTTTTAAACCGAGATTCATTTATTTTTTCCTTTATCTTATTCTGGTTCCATTTTAAAAACTAAAAAAGCTTGATTGTGAGTTACATTATGTTATTCTAAAATTTTGCAAGACCTATCTTTTTCAATTTCAACATGCGAAACAGCGATAAAAGGAAACAATAGACGAAACTATGTGAAACAGCGATAAAAGAAACAGCTTGAAAATATTTCCTCGGATTTTCCTTCATTCAAAATCAATTTTGGGTACACTTTCTGGCTATCTCTTAGATACCATATTTCTAAAAATTTTCTTGCCGCAAACCACGGTGGCGGTCTTTCCTAAGCTCTTTCAAAATAGCTCAGATTTCAAAATAGATTTTTAGATCCCTCCGCATTCAAATACGTTTCACCGGCCCTGGGATTGTAAACGTCATTTGTCTTCGTCCGCTCACTATCTGGCTAAGGCACCCCCATAAGGGGAAATTTCATTTTGGCACGCCTCATATTTGATTAGCGGGTGGGGCAATTGCCCCCTTGCCCCCTTGGCCAGCACGCCACTGTAGAAAGTCATCAGTTTAATGTCGGAGCAGTTAGGATACCGTATTTCCTCAAATGAACGCCGCCCTCTATTGAACACGGCATCTTCGGCTAACCATTTGGAAAAAACGCCTCCCTCTGATAAACGCCGCCCTTTATTGAATGCCGCATCCAAAATTTGGATTTTGTAATAAACGCCGCTGTGTTCTTTAGAGGAAATACGGTAACTGTAATTGCTACAAAGTCTGCACTGCTACGAAGGAGATCAATTAATCCGCCATGTTGGTATTTTAGGTCACATGGGATGTGAATTGACGGTTGAAGAGTTTTACTTGGTTAATTCGGCATGATCAGGAGAGCGGTCGGAGCATTCCAAGGGTTTCGTTGTTGAATAAGCGTGATCGCTGAAGTTTAATTCACACGAAAACTGCCATAAGAAACCTCAAACTTTATGAATGAAATAGGTTGATTGGCGGTATACTAAACATTGAATCCTAGTTACAAACGGACGGGTTTGAACATACAAAGACCATTGTGCTAGGCCCTTGTTTAGAGACAAAGGAAACAATTTCTTTGCGATGTTGGTAACCGTTTGCTAATCCAAAAACAAGATGGAATCAACAGGCAATTCTGGGCAAATTCTCGATTCAGCAGCCAGTGCCTCGACCGTTCAGGGAAATCTGGAAAATGACGGTGTCAAGACAGCGAAAGAAAGCGAGCACGTCAAACGTCCTATGAATTCATTTATGGTGTGGTCTCGAATGAAACGACAGCAACTCGCACAGGAAAACCCAAAAATGCATAACAGTGAGATAAGCAGGCGTCTTGGTCTAGAGTGGAAACAGCTAACGGAAGAGCAGAAAAGACCATTCGTCGAAGAAGCGAAAAGAATTCGAGCCGATCATATGCGAGAGCATCCCGATTACAAGTACAAACCACGCCGAAGGAACAAAGCCGTAATGAGGGCGAACGATAAGCGACCAGAACGAACAATGCTATTGATGAGTCCGGGGGGCACTATCCCATCTTTTGATCCTTCCAAATTAGGTTTATCGGGGGTAACAGTATCAAATAACAACGTTTTTAGTTACCCAATGTCGTCGTTTTTACAAACTTTCATGAATGGAGATGGGAGTAATAGGCCACTTTTTAGTCTTGGTTTCCCCATGATGAGTCCAACAATGACTGATGTCAATGGGCAGACGTCATCAGGAATTTCTGCTGTTCAGTCAACCTCAACCAGTGTGTCAGCAACAGAAGCAGAAACAAAGGAAAAAGAGAGTACTAATGCATCTCCAGGTGATACTCAACTTGCAATGGTCAGAGGTGCTTATCCTGCATTCATGTGCAACCCCTTTCAAGCATTTTCTTATTTTGGTCTTAATGGAAACTTACCCCAAGCATTGCCCCAATATGCCCAACAACAGCTGCCAGGATATGTAACTGTTAAACAGGAAAGGAAGGATGAGCCAACAGAAGAGCATTTAGACACTCATGGTCATATAAAGACTGCTGTTGATGTCAGGGGAAGTCCACAAATCTATGGTAGGACTAGTGGCACCCCCGTCCAAAAAGAGACTTTTGCAGAAACAAAAGATGCCGACAAGTATGCCATAAATGTGCAGCTAAACCCTGCACATAACAAGCATAACTGAGGTACATTTGTAGAGAGTCAGCATTGCATTATGCAATTATAACTAGGTTTCTGCTTACAACAAAACCACTGAGAATTTCTTTACTGACTACACAGTTTATACTATTATGTGAATAAAACCTCTGCTTCTCAGTGTTCCAGTACATTACTGAAAAATGGAGACCTCTCAAGGATCAGGTGTTCTTGTGCCAAAGTTGCTGTTGTTTTTGCTTTGAAAAAGGCAAAGAATCAAGACTATGCCACGCGTCATTCATATAGTATTATGCAAGAAAGATTGAGGGGTTTCATCAAAAAGCAAATGTTTGTATGTAGGGGTGAAAAAGGGCTGATAGAGTTGAAGTAAGTACCCAAAATTTTGTTGATAGTGTTTCTCCAAAAGTGGTCAAATGTGGCAGTATTTAATTTGCATAACTTTGGCATTAAATTGGATACAAGTTCCTTGCCTCAACAGACTTCAGCACTAACATTTAAGGATTATCTTTTCTGTCACTGTTTTTTTCCAAAATTATATTTTCTGCAGTGTTGCCTCTCATAGTACTTTGTGCAATGTATTTGGCAGATTGATGTGGGTAAAGTGTTTTTATATTGTGGATAAGGGGAGGGTTTAACTGAAAGTACATACCAAATGGGGTTTAGGGTCACATAAGAATCACAACTGAGTACAAAGGGGAAGGGTGACTGAAGATATAAAAAATTTTGCCTACATACTATGTGAATGACCCCAAGAAGCAGATCAATATTCATTGAGAGATACCAATAAAATTTGGGACCTTACCAGTTATTTTGGTATTTAGCTTGTATGTGTAAAGATGATACAAATATTTTCATAACTTCTCTTTTAATACATGTATACAATAAGGCATATTTAAGGCATGTTGCTTTCTGGAGGTGTATAATTTGAAGCATATGGATACTATATATTGTATTGGTTTTTTTAGTAAGCTGACTTCTTAGTGGAAGTTTTAGGAGCAACTTGCTTTTATTTACTTCGGTAGATAGATCAGTTTATGCTGTAGAAAAACATTTTAACGTTATTTTGGTACTGTAGTATTTTTCTGTTATATCAGTAATATTTTATTAATGCGAAAGGTGAATAAATAAGCTTCTGGTCATTTAATTTTCTAAAGAAATCATGAGTTATTATGGAGTTAACAGTCTCTCCACATCAATGATAAAACTTTTTAAGTTTTTAATCAATTCAACCATCCTCATCATACATTTATCTCTCAGCTGATATGCTGTTGGATTGACTTCACTTTGTGTAATAAATGCCCCAGTATTCAAAGTGTTTGTGCTGTAGTTCTTTCCTATACGATTCTTTTTTTCAAGAGAGTTGGCTCCTTTCATTGCAATCAACAAAGAGAGAATTGTCAAGAGAGTTAACAGAATAACCAGAAAATGTAGCACTTGGCACTTCACTTTTTGGGTAAATCTGCAGGTTTTTGATCTGCAGCTATTAAAAATGATCCAAACACTATTTTTTTCTCCAAAGTAAAGAAATCAAGGTACTTTTCTGTTCTAATTTTATTATCTAAACAATACAGTGGAACCTTCATATAACGGACACCAGTGGGACCAATGTTATTGTCTGTTGTAGAGAGGTGTCCACTGTATGGAGGTGTCATCTTTTTATAACTTTTGTTTTGGGACTCAAAAATCTGTCCATTGTTTGGAGGTATCCGTTGTATAGAGGTGTCCGTTGATGGAGGTTCCACTGTAGTAAGTAAAGCATTGCAAAAATCTCAATTTCTGTCCCATATCAACAATTACCCAGCTGACTGTCTGGTTGTAGTTCACATAAAGCAACAACATATTCTAGACACTTTTTCACTCTGTTATGTTCACACTATCTAACTTCATATGAAATATGTTTTACACAGTTTATAAGATATCTGTGGTTATACCAAATTTTATGTCATACTGAAAATGACACAATTTCCCGCCCTTTGTTTAAGGGCTCCTCTTTTTGGCTTTGTTCTGAGCTACAAGACACTTTACGTTTCTTTTGTAGAAATTTTTTACCTTGAACAGTGGTATGCATAACCATAAGGTTTCAAATATTTGTAGTAGTGGAGCAATAGATTGCATGCCAGGAAGGTTTAATTGTTAGACAAATTCTGGAATTTGCAGCAGCATTACCTTTCTCTAGTGTTGGGCATAAAATACTTGGACTGTTGCATTGGGCAGGGCCTATGCCATGATTTGAAAGTAGGGGGGGGGCAAGGCTAGCAAAAGTAGGAGGCAAAGGCCTCTTTCTCCTTTTACTGCAGTATTAAAACTATTTGCTTCGCAAAAAGAGGGGGGGGGGGTGAGGAGGAGCCTGGTGGGATGGACCTTGTTGGGCTGAGAAAACCAATAAATAGGCTTGTTCTTATTGAATTCGGAAACTTTTGAAAAAAATTCCCCTCTTTGTTAAAATTGTTATGATATCCCATCATCAATTCTTGATTGCTTATGGAAGCTTTAGCTTATCTAAAACCAAAAGCAAATGAAGACTTCATAATATATTAATCTGTTTTTGTTTTATGCCATTTCAAAGTTCAGAATCTATTGAATGGCCCATGAACTTTTTCAATTAAGCTGATGGTCAATGGAGTCTACATAAATAAATTGAAATCTCATCAGTTAAAAACTGACAAAGTTGGACGTGTTCAACTTTTTCAGTCAACAACTGAAGGTCATTAATGCATCAGTTTTTACCAGTTTTTGCTAAATACACGATCAGTTTTTGACTAAAAACTGAAAACTGTCAGTTAAAAACTGATCGTGTATTTCAGGCTTAACTCACAGGTACGCTGCGAGGCAAATTTGTTTACTTCCGCCATTTTGAATAGTGGCAAAAAGGAACCTGCTCCATACTGAGCCCTTATAAATTTGGTAAAAGTAAGGATTGATTTCATTCACTTCTCGTTCGAATATCGATGTGAAGTTTGGTGAATGGCCTGATATTGCATTTAAATTTATGAATTGATGTTAATATTGGAAAAGTAAGCCGTCATTCGCAAATTCCAAGCATTTATAAGGTCGCCGTGCTTGTTGTTGTGTTTTCTGTCTCGTCGAAATTCCAGAAAATAATGATTGATCTGTTTTAAAACGGATCCAGCAACAATGTTTAGCCACTCAAAGCATCATTTTCTTAACATATTTGTACAAAGATGTGATTCAGTTACTTTTTCTTTCTTTGTTTACAGAAACTGCTTTGAAATATCTAGACCTAACTCTAGAAAAAGCTGAAAAAGGTCATAATTAATAACAGAGTTTAAATATAGTAACCAATTTTTGATTCTATATACTCATTAATATTTTTAGATTATGTCAAAACCACACTGGTTGCTTGTAATTATTCTTCAGCACAATGCGTCCCTCCTATCGATATCTTTGATCTATAAAATACCTTCGGGACAGGGGCGGTGCACAGAGTTATGGGGTTGGTAATAGCGTCTATGACAAAAACGGTAATTTGGGCTGCAGGGGCGGATCTAAGCAATAATGATTGGGGGGTGTTAGACGCTAATTTTGGTGCCACACCCTTCAGGTCACTGGTAAATTATGGAAAAGCCCATTTTTAGAATTCCGTTTTTGACTTTAAGGTAAAGACGATAAGAAGCGGTGGCGTAGCCATGTTTGGAAGATTGGAGGGGCAAAGAGGAGAAAATTTTTGCTGACCACACCCTTAAGAATTTAGGAAACACCCCATTTTGCAAAAGCGTTTGGAAAAGCTATGGCTTTTTTACGTGGCAATTTCGCTTTATACAACGTCATATCTGGCTTTTTGTAGCTGACCCCATTCTACAACTGCCTATTTCCTTGACAATTCATCTAACGCTTGCATTCTGAATTGTGTAAGGCGAGGAAGTACTACGTGTAAAAACTGATTCTCCACAGTTTTAATCAAATATCTAAAATAACAAACAGGATTCAAATGTTTTAAACTAATTCCGTTCTCCTTGGAGCAAGATCCCCGACAAGCATTTCAGAATCCAATTTTTGTGTACGAAGAATTGAGTACACTATGTAGTGGGTCGCGGGGAACGCATACATATATATATTTATAGACGCTTTTCCGTAACTTTTTTGTTATGCAAGGCATGCTCGTTTCCCTGTAATTAGGGTACCGATTTCTATTGCTTGCGACCACGAAATGATGTTGACTCAACGTTATTACAAAGTCAACGATGCAAAGAAGCATTGTACCATTGCCAGAAGGGAAGTTGGCACGGCTTTTCGCGAAAACGATCAATCCTTTGTGGCATAATGTGATTTAAGAAACGGATATAGTGGCAATAAAAGTTTTGATTGGTAAAAGTGTATTGCTATTGTCAATTTTGCCATTGTTTTTCTTCGCATATCAGAGCCCTGTGCTCCTACCATGAAGATACCTCAGCACGTACTCTAGTTTTAAGGATTGAAGCGCTTTAGCATTTTAATTTCGTTTTTATCGGGATTGCCTAAAGAACGTGAGAGGCTTTTCTATTTAAATCCTATAACGTGGGATAAATTGTTGAACATTCTGTAGAGTTTTAAAGGAGGGTCCCTGTGCGAGCGAAGTGAGAAGAAAATTTTTGCGACGAAGCCCTTCAGATAAGCTTGAAATACATTTCAGAATATTTCTTACAGTCGTTTGCAGTTTTTAAAAACGTTTTAATATTGTCTGAAATATAAAGTCCCCCTTTATGGTAATAATTCTATTGCAGATTTGTCCTTATCTCAGACACCGACTTTCCGAGCGGCCGCTCCCCTTGCCTCCCCCGCTACGCTACTGGGAAGAAGATAAAAACTGATATCAAGGAGATAAATAAAGTAAAATCTTGGCGTTAATTTGTTACTGCTGACTACCAAAAAATGGTTTTTACCGAATGGAACCAAATTTACCGAATGAGACAAAATATTGGGGGTGGGTGGTGTCGCACCCCCACACTCCCCCGCTAAGTCCATCACTGTCGGGCTGATTAGCAATATGGGCTAAATTTGCCTCCGTTGAACAATATCCGTTTTCCTGAAGAAAAGATCCTTTCGTCATCTGAAAAAAAAATTATTTGGAATTTCTTGATTGAAAGACCTCTTTAAACGTTATTTGATATTTAATATGTTACCACAAGTAGCAGGCAGAGCAGAATCGGGCAGAACATTAATTTTATAAATTCTATCATTGTCATCCATTGCGAATTCTATTGCAAAATAAAGGCTGGGGCTGCACAGATGAGGCCACTTTTATTCGACGCATTTCAATTCTGCCGCTGGTCATAGTATCGCGGGCTTATGTGCACATTTGCAGGTTCTTCAATATCTGACACGTGCCCAGTAAAATCTGGGAGGCGAAGATGAAACTGTCAGTGCCCGTAAACAGAAATAAAATAATACTCTGTGAACAATGTTAATGAAATTTACAAGGTGAGACGTAAATAGTTCCAGACTTACATCCACTAGCCATAACATTTTTGTCATACACAGTGCAAAACTAAATTGTGGGAAGATAGCACAGAGTTCTACAGCACTTTTAAATTCAACTGCAATGCTTATATATTTAAATTAAGGCAATATGTATTGCTCACGATAACAATTCTTGTATGCTTTTAAGTGGGCAAATATTCCCTTCCAGGCTACAACTGATCTTTTACGAGGATTGAAAAATTAAATTGTGCAAACTGAGTTTGTATTTGCCGTAGAACGCCGTGCTAACTTCGCTCAATTTCACATTGCCTCAATTTAAATAAAGGCAATTTTAATTTTGAGGTAATCCTGAAAGTAATTTTATTGATAGTTCTCTTAAAAATTTTCACCTGATTCTAATTCTTTAAAAGGGAAGCACAATTTCCAAAAAGGGGCGCCAGACCTGCCCCTAGTTGCCCTCGTTTAATCCACCACTAGGTATAGTTTATTTTAATGATTATTATTGTATTATTGCAGGGACGCTTAACTTTGCAGATGGAAACCCCATTGTTGCTCCAAATGTACGAAACCTTTAATGTTCCATTATCCATTATACTGACTTTTATCAAAAACTAGCAACAGTACAGTTGAAAAACAGTTTTCTCCAATCAAATTCCCCCATTTTTTACAAGCTCTTGGTTGAGATCGCGCTTTCAGTTTATCATTCATAATCCATGTGCAAAAAAACAAACGGAAGCGCTAAAGTGCATGGTCAGGCTGAATCAGGATTTTATGATATCATTTTATTGTGTTTGTAAATTGCTGAAAGCTTAATGGTTGATATAAAAACATGTTGGACCCGAAAGATTTCAGTGCAGACAAAGGAATGATGAAATTTTTTTAACTGGGAAAAGACTGGACAAAATGTAGAATTTGAATTAACGCTTTCGTTTTTTAAGTTTTGAGCTGCATATATATTCAAGCTAGTGTTTTTTTAGGAACTGCCTAAATATTTGATGTTTTTAAATTAGCTGATAACAAGCAAAGCGAAGAAACGTACGAACTTTTTCGTTGCCTTAAACTATTAACAATTATCTAAAAATTATCTCGTTTGTTGTACTCTTCCACACTTCTTCTTCCTTTTTTCCACCTTTGTTCAAAAGTAAACATAATAAAAATTTTCATGGTATCATTGTTGCGTATATAGGTTGTCATAAGGGCGGCAACATTTCTTTTTGGCGGATTTCACAATAAACAAAGTCCCTGTTTCTCTCGGTGCCCTGTGGTTACTTTGCGCATGGCAAGTATATTTTTCCTATCTGTTTTGAGCCGCTAAAAGGCTTACTTTTGAAAAGTCACCAAAAAACTAAACAAGGCCAACAACAACAAAGAATGTTTTCTTCATTTCCACACAACCATGGATATGTTTGATGAGCAGATTCACAGGATCTATTCTTTATCGCCACTCCACTTTAGAGTGGGGTCTACCCTTCTCTTTTATATCCAGATGTTGCTCAAGAGTTAACAGAGAGTTTCCGATCGCCGACGCAGCTACGGCGGGGATG